ATTAGAGTGGAGACTGCGAGCCAGGCCTTTTCGTCCAACATCCGTACCTGACCTCACAAATGCACTCTGGAAGAATGGTGAAACATTCCTATAGACACACTCATAAACCTAAACAGCCTTCCCAGAAAAGTTGAAGCTGTTATAGGTGCAAAGGGTGGACCAACTCAATATTGAACCCTATGGACTACGACTGGCATGCCATTAAAGTTCATGTGCGTGTAAAGGCAGGCATCCCAATACTTTTGGCAATATAGTGTATATTACACCAGCATTTGACCGCAGCTGCAGGTATGAATGTACCCAGAGGCCGGAAGAATAATAAGAGCAGTTCTGACACCTGTGGGCTCTCCTGCATGGAAGCCACAATGTTTCCATTTCACTCTCTCCCCTTGCCAAATCACAGAATGCTTTTGTATATTGTGAATGGTTCATAGTAAACTAAGCTTTCTGTGAATGGGAAAGGGGAGAGGAAGGAAGGACAAATGACAGTGTGGCTTCAGTGCAAGATAGCAGCAGCTCACATGTGGAGCTATTCTATCCACCCTGAATAAAAGTAAAAAAATGCTAGTGACCGCATATTTTCTTAAAATTACATACATCTCAACAGTTAACGTACTGTATATTTACACTACAGATTTTAAAAAATCCTAATTTAAATCAACCATAACATAAAAGACAAATACGTCTCTACTAATATTAATATAAAAAGAAGGTAACAAAGTGGTTGATATCCAAATAGCTGGAAATCATAATTAAAGTACAGTTTCTTAACTGACCTTAATCTCTACTTGTGCCGTTTGCAAGCTTTTCCTATCATTTCCCTACAGCACTTTCATGTACACCAACACTATGGCTCCTCTACGCCCACCATTTATAGAGAGGGGGCTGGCACATAACAAAGCCCCCATTATTGGCTGTTCTAATTTAGATGACCTAAGTTCAAAGGTCCTTGCATTGCATTCTGATTACCAGGCATTGGGCACGGTAAAATCCCACTTCAGTTTGATAGGACTGTGAATAAGCATGTAAATTCACCTCAAACCCAAGGTAAGCCCGGACCTGAAACTCCAGGATAATCATATTTACTGGACACTTCAGTACTGGATTTCCATTTTAAGAAAGTAATTATCTCGTTATCTCTTATGCATAACAACACATTGAAATACATCAAAGGTGTATATACTGGTATTCTCGTATTAAATACATGGTGCTGTTCAATCCCCCATTTCAGAGTTAACGTCAAGGAAGTGTGAGAAGCGCCTGGTCAACATCAAGCCAAGCTGATGCAAGTGATGCATGTAGCAAGGGTGGGGGAGCAAGGCAGTGATAATAATTATAGCTGACAGATCTCATTGCTGGAAGCTCAGAGGGAGATGCAATCTGTGGGGCAATGCAACGCCTGCCATCTACCCAAAACTGAAAATGTAAGCTTTTGCTTTCTGTTTTCTTGATGAAAATCACTGGTCAAATAGACTGAGTGTAAATTCTTCCACAAAACCTGGATTTTTATGTGTTAAGCAGCACCAAGGCAAATGTGCACTTGGCTCATTTATGAACAGTGACAATCTGGATGGCTTGTATTAAGCCAAAGCCAGATTCAATTGTGTAATGCTCCTCTTCCTGTCGCAACCACTCAGCTCCATCTGGTGGTTGCCTCTTGTAATTGCACCTACTACAGTCCAGTCAGCTGCAGGCTGATCAAGCTATCAGCCTGGCTACATGCCCCTTACAGCCTGGGCGTTGGTTAGTTGTGCTCTTTAAGCACCACAAGCCCAGAGCTCTGGGCATGTGATAGCTCCTGCCCTGTCCTCACAATCCTGAATCCTGAGACCCACTCCTGCCTTGATCTTGCAGCCTAGTCTTACCATGGCTCTTTAATCCTATACCTGTCTTTTTTCCTGTATCCTGTACTTATCTTGTATTTGTTTCCTGTTCCTGTCTTGTGTCTTGCTTTCTGTTTGTCTTGTACTTTGACATCAGTCAGTACTTCTCCTTGTTCCTGGGGGCCAGCCTATGGCATCAACTGATTAGAGTAAATAGTTTAAGTTCAGGGGGCATCCAAGTACCGGTAGGTGTGCTTGCCTTATAAGAACGGTGGCTGCTAAAGGTGAAACAACTCGTCGCTATTGGCTCTGACAGTGTGCGTCCACAGCTGGTCCTGACATGTTTGGGACATAGATTGTGTTGAATTTGTAATAGAGAGCAATACAATAATATAGCTCTGTTAATGGGGTATATCACTTTTTTCTTGAACAGACATGTTATTGGCTTTATACAACGTACAAGTTACATTTATTGCTTTCAGCAGTTCCTTATTTAAACATTTTCTGTTTAATTATTAGACTAGAGATCTTTGTAAGCACAAATATCTTGCTTCTGTGCTATTATGGCTTGACAAACCCTGCACAGAAAGAGTTCGAATCTAGTGTAATTTTCATATTATATAAATGTTTTTATACCTAGTGGCATCTGCCACTTTGATTTAAAGAACTCCGGGCAAAATAAATCTTAACCCTTTGCAGTGGGGCTAACCCTGCAATGCAAGGGTTGAGTGCTAGTTTTGTCTAGGGAGCTAAAATAAGAGTTATACTCAACTGAACCACAATCCCCCAAAAAAACAAAAGGGAACAGAGCACCACCTCTGTGTGTAAAATTGTTTATTAAAATGAATAAAACAAGGGATATATGTACTAACAAACAAACGTTTTCATCATGCTTTAACAACAAACAAGAGGCCACACAGTTTGTTAACCCAACATGGTATTGACCCGACTATGTACCATGGTTGCCTCCGGTCACATCACTGTCCACCGGCTGCAGTCAGTCGAGATTGACGCATTTCAGGGGTGAGCCCCTTCATCAGAAGCATGATTCTGATGAAGGGGGCTCACCTCTCATTATCCCTTGTTTTATTTATTTTAATAAACGATTTTACACACAGAGGTGGCGCTCGGTTCCCTTTTGTTTTTTTGGGATTGTGGTTCAGTTGAGCATAACTCTTATTTTAGTGAAAAACTGTGATAAACTGTCAAACGTTGATTATGCAACAGCAAGTGGATTGTTTAGCTGGCAGCCATTAGCGCAAAGAGTTAAAGAAAACTGTTTGATGTGAACCACAATCCCGGCTGCTGCTAGACGGGTCCCTTTAGTCTCGCTCCCCCTCTGCTCCGGAAGTCTAAGGCCCCATTCACACTGAGCGACATGAAAATCGCGCGATTTTGAGCATGTCGCGCGACTTTTTCCTATTGGGCTGTATGCAATCAGGAGCAAAATCGCTCGAAAAAAGGGTCATGTAGGAGCGACAAGCTACCAGCGACGAGCTACAATCGATATTGAGCGACGAGATATGAACAGCTCCATTGAAATGGATTAGAGAAGCTACATAGAGCGATGTCGCGTGGAAATATGAGCGATATTGCTGCAAAAATCGCTTGATAAATCGCTCAGTGTGAATGGGGCCTTAGGTCCTGTCACAATCCAGCAGGGCAGTACTCTCTTGGATCTCAACTGCGAAACTAACACTCTAGGTTTAAGGGTTCGGTCAGTCTTGCGGAACCCCAATACACTCAGTGTGATGGGGGGCCGTTCCACATCATGTACCCGTCCTAGAATGTTATAGGTATATGACCAATGAGGGTCAAAGGTATACAGTTTAGGTATTTTGGTTATAGCTATCAACCTCAAGTGGAGGCATGTGGTGAATTGTAGTTTTGTCACTGCAGGAATAAATAGGGAATCGTTTCCTATCACCCCTCTCCAATCCACAGTGATCACGGTGTGGCAGAATTACTGAATGGCGTTCACTAATACACTTTGGGAGATGTGTAGTGCGGTGGTTATGCAAGGTTATCTTCAGCAGAGCAAGTGATGCAATCCGTAATTATCAACAATATGATATGTTCAGTTGGTATTAATGCACACAGATCCTTGCTAGTATATACATCTCAATATCGCTTTGAAGTGGCTACAAATAGGTGGGAGAAAACCAGCAATATGGTATGCCAGTTGGTATCAATGCACACAGTTCATTGCTATCATACACGTCTAATATGGCTTGAAGTGGCTACCAACAGGTAGGGGAAGATCCCCTTGTACTTGCGGTTCAAGAGTGGAGGGAGTTCAGGAGGAGTAGGAGGCAATTCTGTGTAGCAATGTGAGCCGTAGCAGCTAGCAGTAGCTGAGTCCCAACAGGGAGGCTGAACTTCTCACTTAAGGCTGTGGATGGTCTGTGGCTCTGTTCCCCACAGAGTCAGTCGCTCGACGTTCCACAATGATTGAACGCCGAGTGACTGACTCAGCTGTGTTTAAGAGGAGGAGGCGCCACGCCCAGGGGGGAGGAGCCGGCCGTGACGGCACACCTGTGCGAGTCAATCTATGACAGGTCCTGTTAGTCATCAAGTTCTATTTTGTGGAGAGGAAGTGAGGATGCTGAGGGACATTCCATTGCTGGTGAGGAAGAGGGGACAGGTTTAAGAGACCGGTCTAGGAGCCAGCCAGCATGATGTTTCGGGTCGGTATATTTGTTATTTTAGCTCCCTAGGCAAAATCCAAATCATTTGTACTGTATTGCTGTCCATCTGCCACACAGCACAGCATTTTCCTGCAGTGAAAAGAGAAGCAGCAGACCGAACACATGTCTCTGCCACTTTACTCTCTCTCACAATCCGCATAACTATTAAAAAATGCTTCCTCTTCCAGTCTAAGCTCTGCTGTGCAGGATACTACAAGAGGCTGATAACAAGAAAAATGCAGGTATTTACACTGCTTACATTTTAAAACAAATATATGTAATGTTGAATAAAGAATACAGAGCTGCATTAATTTGTTTTTCTTTTATCTGGCTGTAGTTTAGCTGTAACAGACCATTTTCTGCAATTTACATATTCCAGATCTATGTATACTTATTTCTTCAAAAATGGGCCAAGATGCAAAAGTACTGATGTTGTGTTGTTCAAACAAACATTGTCTAATAAATATATATATTTCTTTATTTATTGCAGTGATTCCATTGCAAACAACTACAGTCCTGCAGCCAGAGACTTCTCAACGCATTCCCTCCACAAACATCAGAGCAACAATGGTATAACTTCTACCTGTTGGTATATTACAGTCATATATATGCATGCTTTTGCTTTGGATATAATGAAAAAAGCTGAGCTGGGAGCATCTGCTTCCTCTGCATCCCTTCAGTCACCTGCAGACCTGCACAGGATCTTTCTGTCAAACTGTGCCTTAAAGGAGAACTATGAGGTGAGTGCTTTCCACTCATCCTCATAGTTCTAGCCGACCTGTGACAATGAAACTGTCACAGGTCGGCTCAGTCGATCGGGAAGTTATACAGTTTAGGTATTTTGGTTATAGCTATCAACCTCAAGTGGAGGCATGTGGTGAATTGTAGTTTTGTCACTGCAGGAATAAATAGGGAATCGTTTCCTATCACCCCTCTCCAATCCACAGTGATCACGGTGTGGCAGAATTACTGAATGGCGTTCACTAATACACTTTGGGAGATGTGTAGTGCGGTGGTTATGCAAGGTTATCTTCAGCAGAGCAAGTGATGCAATCCGTAATTATCAACAATATGATATGTTCAGTTGGTATTAATGCACACAGATCCTTGCTAGTATATACATCTCAATATCGCTTTGAAGTGGCTACAAATAGGTGGGAGAAAACCAGCAATATGGTATGCCAGTTGGTATCAATGCACACAGTTCATTGCTATCATACACGTCTAATATGGCTTGAAGTGGCTACCAACAGGTAGGGGAAGATCCCCTTGTACTTGCGGTTCAAGAGTGGAGGGAGTTCAGGAGGAGTAGGAGGCAATTCTGTGTAGCAATGTGAGCCGTAGCAGCTAGCAGTAGCTGAGTCCCAACAGGGAGGCTGAACTTCTCACTTAAGGCTGTGGATGGTCTGTGGCTCTGTTCCCCACAGAGTCAGTCGCTCGACGTTCCACAATGATTGAACGCCGAGTGACTGACTCAGCTGTGTTTAAGAGGAGGAGGCGCCACGCCCAGGGGGGAGGAGCCGGCCGTGACGGCACACCTGTGCGAGTCAATCTATGACAGGTCCTGTTAGTCATCAAGTTCTATTTTGTGGAGAGGAAGTGAGGATGCTGAGGGACATTCCATTGCTGGTGAGGAAGAGGGGACAGGTTTAAGAGACCGGTCTAGGAGCCAGCCAGCATGATGTTTCGGGTCGGTATATTTGTTATTTTAGCTCCCTAGGCAAAATCCAAATCATTTGTACTGTATTGCTGTCCATCTGCCACACAGCACAGCATTTTCCTGCAGTGAAAAGAGAAGCAGCAGACCGAACACATGTCTCTGCCACTTTACTCTCTCTCACAATCCGCATAACTATTAAAAAATGCTTCCTCTTCCAGTCTAAGCTCTGCTGTGCAGGATACTACAAGAGGCTGATAACAAGAAAAATGCAGGTATTTACACTGCTTACATTTTAAAACAAATATATGTAATGTTGAATAAAGAATACAGAGCTGCATTAATTTGTTTTTCTTTTATCTGGCTGTAGTTTAGCTGTAACAGACCATTTTCTGCAATTTACATATTCCAGATCTATGTATACTTATTTCTTCAAAAATGGGCCAAGATGCAAAAGTACTGATGTTGTGTTGTTCAAACAAACATTGTCTAATAAATATATATATTTCTTTATTTATTGCAGTGATTCCATTGCAAACAACTACAGTCCTGCAGCCAGAGACTTCTCAACGCATTCCCTCCACAAACATCAGAGCAACAATGGTATAACTTCTACCTGTTGGTATATTACAGTCATATATATGCATGCTTTTGCTTTGGATATAATGAAAAAAGCTGAGCTGGGAGCATCTGCTTCCTCTGCATCCCTTCAGTCACCTGCAGACCTGCACAGGATCTTTCTGTCAAACTGTGCCTTAAAGGAGAACTATGAGGTGAGTGCTTTCCACTCATCCTCATAGTTCTAGCCGACCTGTGACAATGAAACTGTCACAGGTCGGCTCAGTAGATCGGGAAGTGAGCGAACACATACCGGCGTATGCTCACTTCTCGATCTTGTCACGGCACAGAGCCGTGACAGGGGAGGGACTGGATTCCCCCCTCCCCGCTCCGATTCTACAGTGCTGACTGGCGGAATGGACGGGGGAGGGGGCGGGTATAGCTGGCTCTGCCTCTAGATAGGCAGAGCCAGCTGTCACTCACGCAGCTGGGCAGATCCAGACTTAATTGTCGGGATCCGTTTCAGCTGTGGTGTCTCAGTATACCGTGAGCTGTAGCTCGCGGTACACTGCGGCGTCTCAGTATACTGCTAGCTGTAGCTCGCGGTATACTGAGCTTAGGGTGATGGGAGGACGCTAGTTTGTGTCCTCCCGTTACTATGTTACCGAGAACTATGCGGAAAAGCCCTAACCCCATAGTTCTCCTTTAAGTATCTATAGGGTCGGGGTGTCACTGCGTTAAGGTAGCTGACTAATTTTGAATATGCTGGCAGCACACAAAAGCACACATGCAGCATTTTTGGCAATGCTGAACATCAAAATGCTGAGTATGTTTTGATTTTGTGTACTGTAGAATTAGTGCGCTAGCAGCTACTGCATGTGTATTTGGGTGCCATTCTGAGTGACACCTCAAAGGAAACAGTTTCACATGTTAATGTGCTTTGCAATAAGATGCAGCAAAATGCATGTTTTAACGTGCCTTAATGCAACACATACATCTGAACTATTAGATAGCTCTATAATTGTGCTTACTAAAGCATATCCAATTATTTTAATTCCTCAATTCAAGGTCTTTCCAAGAACTTGTTTGATACAACTCGTGCATCTAGAAACAAAATCAAATAGAGCCTAGTTTCTCATAGACCTCTCAAATTGTTACCATTTATCAGAGCGTATGGTTTAGCAAACCATACATGGATTTTTAATGTCAATCAAAACAAAATGCCTCTTGCCAGAAACAATTGAAGCAGAACTCCAACCAAACAACTACAGATATAGCTAAGGACAAATATTTGCTTTGTTTTTCCTGTCAAGGTATTTTGTGATTCTGTTCAAGCAATCTTGAGATGTGAAAACCCTTGCCAGAATTTAAAGACAGATGATGTTGGCTGTTTCACAGCCTGTAGGTCTGCAGCTTTCTGTGTCGCCTCACAGCCTTCAGCTTGCTCATTGGATTATTAAAGGAAACCTGTCATTATAGAGATATGAAGGCAGCCATTCCAGGTCTCTCCTTTGGTAAGTCATACTTAATGGCTGTCCAGTTCACCGTTGTGTTTCAATGCTTTGAGTCATTGACCCGGGAAAGGTATGCAGAGTTCCTACTTTCCTGGTCTGCATATTATTCCTTGATCATGACTCAGAAAGTATTGAAGTACAGAAAGGAGGAAGTCAGCAGTAGCAGATCCATATTTCCCCCATGACCACTTTTACTTTAGTGGGCACTGCCACACTGGTAAGGTACTCAAGTCTAGCCTGCTTAAACAGCAGCTCCTCCAGCCCCTACTGCCTGAACAATATTCTGCAATAAAGAGGAGTGAGATTGGCTCATAGAAAAAAGAGTTTCACTCTTTGCATCATTTTTTGATGTTTGGGGGATTGGACATTTAATGAGAATATATTTGAAGTTCTTAAACTTGTACAACTCAAAAAAATTAAGGTACACTGCAAAACAGAAATCTGTTCATGGGCAAGCTTTTCAGCTATGCTGCTATCGGGTAATGTATGTCCTTCCAAAGCTGGCAATCTTCTGATCTGAGAAACCCTTTTTGTTACCGATTTCTAATGTAGGGTAAGTATTCTTCATCAAATGCCCTGAGGGATCTTTACTGAGCCTAACATACAAAAAGTATATAAAAATGTTGCTCTGAATTCTGGAAGTGTGAGAAAATTACGCTGCACAGCAGTGACGTGCGGTACCTTCCGATGTGGGTGAGGCATTCCTCAGCCCCGCCCCCAGCATACACAGCCCTGCCCCAGCCCACCGAAGCCTCGCTTGCCGAAGCTCTGCACCCAACCTGGTCACCAAGCTAGTTTGAGGGAGGAAGGAGGGAAGGAGGAGACAGGGAGGAGCCTCCCTGTCCCTCCCTTGTTCGTCACTGCTGAGGCATCGAGATCGATGGCCTCAGTGTTTTTTTTTTTGCTTTTTTGATTGGACAGCTTGGACCAATGGCGCTTTGCCATTGGTCCAAACCATCCACAGAGCTAACACGCTCTAACACAGAGTAGAGGCTGTGACATCTCTTGCCTCACTAGTTAGGTTACATAAGCAGTGGGCTTATAATTAACAGGCAGTGCTCTGTCCATGACAGTTTACACAGCGGGAGGCTTTCCCTGCTGTGTAACCTGTTACAAACCCATCTGAATGGAGAAAAGCTGTCAGCTCTGCCTCCCCTACCTCCCCTGACCACATGTCCCTGCTGCACAGATAGTGGATCTATTCATAATTAATGTGAGAAACTGCAGTGGATTACATAGAATTTAGATTTAGAAGAGTTTAAGTGATTACTGGATATCTTTAGTAGTTCACTGATTGGTTTTATGTTTTGCTTGTGACTTATTGAGGGATGTATCCACAACTGAAAGGGAGGGTGTTTTAAACTTTAAAAATAAAATTAAATATGTGAAAAAAAAAATTAAATATGTGGTACCGGTATCCAATGATCCTTTATATATGATCACCTGACAAATAAATGATCATGGACTAAACATTCAAAGGGGTTCCGGGGGAAACAAAATCTAAACCCAAAAACATAAATTGAATATATAGAATCCTGCCAGTCCTTAGATGTGGTGGCTGCATTCATTTACTTTTGTTATGGTTGTTTGCATTAGTTTTCTGGATTACCAGTTAAAAATAAAGCAAGCCACCACATCTAAGAACTGGTAAAAAGCAATATATTACATATATGTTCTTGGGTTTGGTTATCTCAAAAATAAAATCTCCCTTTGCTTATGAAGCACAGAGCAAACTCATTACTGTACAGTACATTTCATTTTATGATCTAGCAGCATATTTATTTCAGTGCTGCATAGCAGAACTACGAGATTACATATTAGAGAAGAACTTACAGCATCTCGCAGCTAATATAAAATTCTGCAGTCCACATGCAGAGTGACTGAGTTTCACACTGGATCACCTCCTTTAGCTCTTGACATAATTCTTGCCAACTAGACTGTTACTGGATGCCAGAGGCAGATTATTATGTTACAAATCTGTCCAAGGGCAGAGTACCTCTGCTATAGGCATATCATTGGACAACACTAATATAAACTAGAAGTCACTTTAAGAAATAATGTTTTATAGAGAGAAAGTAAAAGGCTAACATAATAATGTAATGTTTTACTCAACATAATAATGAGTAGTGTTAGCTCAGCCCTTTCTTGCTTAAAGGACCTGACTGTATTATCCTGGTTTCTTGTTGATAGTCCTAACTCTAGGCCACTGCAGTACCATTGTTTGCACCATTGGCAGAGCAGGTACTGAATTAACTAGCTTTTAAACATAATATAAGATATTATTAATAAAAAGTAATGTGTTTTTTTAATAAGCTCATAGAAGTGAACAGGAATTAATGAAAAGCATTACTGAGCCGACCTGTGACAGTTTCATTGTCACAGGTCGGCTAGAACTATGAGGTGAGTGAAAAGCACTCACCTCATAGTTCTCCTTTAAGAAAAAAAGGAATGATTTATACTTGCATTTAAAAAATATAAACAACAAAACCTGTGTAATCCCAGTGATTTTTCTTACAGCTATATGATATATAAGCATTTTAACATAAACACTCAATTAAAAAAAAACCTTTAACTTTAAATGGATTATTTTCCTTCAGAAGGACCTGGCATGTTCTGTTAATGTTCTTACCTTTTTTTTTTTTTTTTTTTTAGGTTTTTTTGGGTTATAA